GGAAAAGGAGGAGAAGCTTCTTCTTCTTCTTTCTAGTTCACTGGGTGCCACGCCCTGTTGTTGTTATTGTTGTTGTTGATGTTGTTGTCTCGATGCTGCTGCACATGGCTCTCTGCTGCTGAGATGAACTTGATGAGCTCGTGTATGGACGCGGCGCTGCTTTCCTCACTTCGCTTCAATGCTTGCACGTTGGCTTTCAATGTGCGGCCTTCGTCTTGTTGCATCACCAGCCTCACCTTTCTCTCCACTTCGCTGCTGCTTGTGGGTCTCCCCTTCTCGTCCACTTTCAGCTCCACCGCCACCTGGGCTACGTCCACCAGGAACCTGTCCAACCCATTCTCATCCCCTTCATGCACCCTTCATTTCTGTCTGTCTGTCTGTCTGCTTTGCCTTGCTTTATCTCTACCTCTAGCTTAAGATTCAGTGATTGCTGTGCACAAGTGAGAGAGTAAGAGAATGAGAGAAAGAGAGAGAGAGAGAGAGAGAGAGATGTATAGAGACGCACCTGCAGTTCATTTTTTGCTCGGCGCGGCCGGGTAAGGCTATAATCGGCAACCCTGCAGATATGCTTTCGAGGATTGAATTCCAGCCACAATGAGATAGAAAAGCGCCTGTGGAGGGGTGATTCAGAATGCGCAGCTGAGGAGCCCACGTCGTCACCACCATTCCTCTGTCCTTGGTTCGTTCCAAAAATCCTGCAGTCATTTTAATAGATGTTGTAAGCAGGATTCGTAGAGGTCTCAGAGTTCTTGTGGCGATAGACTTCAGAGAGGGGATCGGAGCAGTTGTGGCACACCTGGTGGCAGACATTGTGTGATGGTCGGCTGGTCTTGTCTACGGGAAATTAGATCGCCTGCTATCCATAGGAAAGGTTGTCCACTTGCCTCCAGGCCTAGAGCAAAGTCCTCTATGCAATTCTCGTAACCTGTGAGCCCGATTGTGCCGAGTGCTACGTAAATCACTGATCGGCAAGGTTACCTATCCAAGAACTGAACAATGCTCTCATCAAGCTCTTCGAGGATGCCATCCTCATCAACTGTGGCACCCACTTGGCTGGAGAAAACGAGGGGCGACAGTTAGGGACCGACTGGAATCACTTTTGGTGCCTGGAATCCAGGGCTCAATTCTAAATCAGACTTGACTTCATGCAACGCACTCAGGAAAAAAATTGGAAGCCAAAATATGGAGCTGGTTGGAAGTGGAGATGATTGGTCACCTGGCCGGTTTCATCGAGGGCGGCCAAGACATCTGCCTCAAGCTCGCGGAATGTGTTATCTAACACGATGGGCGCCTCGGCTGCTCTCCTCGACATGTAGAGAAAGTTTCCGTAACTGTCGATTTTGAGGAGCTTGGGAATCAAAGCGTTCGGGTCCAGGTCAGTCGGCAGTTCGGATGCCCGCAACCGCACTTTGAGGCCAGGAATTTGAACGAACACATCCTGGCTGGTCGTTGTCAGGGGCAGAATGCTATCCGCGAGCAGCTTCGGCACCTGAAGCATGAGTGATAAATTGGCCGCTGATTGCGTGTGCAGGACATATCGTGGTATGTTGAATTTAGCGGCCACATCATGTGTAAACCCCAACATCATGTCCGAAATGATGCAGCAGGGGGCGAGGGATGCGCCACTCGACATCAGAGATGACAGACAATCACAGAAAACTGAGACGAGCGCCGGCCTAGACTCTTCACGAATAACGTCTGCTGCACCGAGTCCAGCTCTAGTACTAAACCCATCCTTCACTGTGACGATGTCTATGTTCTTGTGCAGAATCACACCCGCATGGGGCTTGAAACTGGGCGAGGTCTGCAGCTGGGATCTGAGCCCTTCGAGGCACAGAAACGTGACCTTGACTCCGACCTGCGCGAGGCGAGATGCCAAGTACAAGAAAGGCATGCAATGACCAATGGCAGAAAACGGCACCAGCACCACATGAACATTCCCACTGTTCGAACCCATACCCACTGTCTGAGATCGACAGTCGCACCAAACCTGCTCCAAAACCAAACTGATGACCTAAACACGAACCAAATTGTCAGTGCACAGTAACACACTTCCAACACAAGAAACTCATGTCCAGTGGCTCTCTCTCTTTCAATACCAAGCACCGGCTTTTGGTTATTTCTACCGAGGTAGAGCTCACAACCATCAACTTTTGAGGTTCAGAAATGGAAAACAAGTGGCACATGTGGAGCATAAGCAGTATTGTCAATAAAGGACTGACTTTCTGAATTGCTTACGTGAGGACCACTAAAGGCAAGCGTGTCACCCTCCGGAAAAAGGCATCGTCCCCTTTCAAGTGGAATGGACGTCGTGGTCGTGGCGCCTGCATTTCACTGCAGGGAAAGTGTACCCACAATTTCAATGTAGGGAAACAGTAGGTAATTAATGAATAATTTATTATTTTTATAATTCCAGATCAGCATTCATGCATGATTTGGACTTGACACATTGTTCTTCTTGCCCTGATTTCCAGTTGGACAAGTGCTATCCAGTTCAATGGTGCATGTCTATTAATTTCATTTAGCACACATTTGAATAATATTATAGTTTTTCTTGGTTATAAGTTTTCTTATATTTATTTTAGAACTTATAAGTTTTGTTGGGATTTGAAAGATTATGCCAGTAATTGGGTTTTATTTTGATTTATTTGAATTTTTCTTGGATCATAATATTATCTTTAAAATTTCATTTATTTTGATTTATTTATATAAATAGTATTGATGGAATTTTATTTAAGAAATTTCTATAATAGATCTTTAGCTGGGAAAATTTTTCATGTCTATTTTGTGCAAAGTAAACCACCCATAGTATTACCAAAGTTTACAATAATGCATTGAAAAAATAGCAATGAGTTCCCCATTGAATTATGTGAAAAATTAATTAATTAATACATGTGGCATTTGACAAATTTTGTTGTATTCATGTTTATTACATACATGTAGAGGATTAAAAACAAAATGGTTTGGTTTCTAATTAATGTTGTTTATTTATTCATTTATTTATTCATGAAAGTATTTGAAATTTTAATTAAAAGAGTGTTAAATAGACCCAAGTTTTTACTAAATTGATAAACCCATCCAAACCATCATGAAAATGAAAAAAAAAAAAAAAAAAAAAAAAAAAACTCTCTAGATTCATTTTTCCACTATTGGATCTAGAACCAATGAAAACCAACCATATTCATCATGATTACCTTATTCTTCACAAAGCTGGGTCTATTTAATAAAAGCATGGGTCTATTTAATAAAAGCATGGGTCTATTTTACAATCTTCTAATTAAATACAAAAAGAAGTCATTTTGTAACCAACTTTTACAAATAATTAATTTAAGGTGAAGATTCAACTTTTAAATATGTTTGTCTATTAGTATAAAAATCTTGATCATTTTATCAATCATGCCTGTAATTCTTGTGAACATATTATTTAATATAATTCTTACAAGAACCAAATCAAAATTTTGCTTAACTTTTAAACTTTTTTGTAGTTAAAAAACCACAGTAAAATATTGTAAAATAGTATTTTTGTTGTTGTATGTAAAGATTGTAGTTTAAAAGGGTAATACAAAGATAAATTACTTTAATGATGCTATAATATTCAACTTAGCATACATAATTTTTACTGCAAGGTTTGGTTTTACAACGAACAACTACATCTCCATAGCAAAAAACCTAAGCAATAATATGTACAGAGGATTTGGCACCAAAATTGGGTTGAAGTAAAAAATATTTTTTGCTAATTCAAGACAAGTTGTTGATAAAGTATATTTTGTCAAAAAATAACATTATAACTTGGTTCAAATGCACATTCTTGCACTTAATACAAACATGCCATATTTGACGCAAATTAACGGTTCAAAATGTTGATTACTCTTTAATTATTAGTTTTTGGTAATATTAACTACTGATTCAAAATTAATTTAATCTTTACCACATTTGATAAATCTTGCAACATTGTTTTTGAAATATGCATTTTATCAAATATAAAAGACGTTTTTGTTTTTGTTTCTGTTTTTAATTTTTTTAAAAAGGTAAGTTAAATTTTAGTTGAAGTTTGTTCATAGAAATAATATTCCATTCCAAAATTTATCCCAATATTCTTATATATATATATATATATATGATTTTTTTTTTTTTTTTTCCATATCCCTACTTTTGTAATTTGAAGCTTGATATATACATAAATAAATAAATGTTAAAAAAATCCTTATATTTAAGAGCGAAAGTGCCACATAATTGATACATTACCTGATTAATACAAAGATAAATGGAAATTGAGAAGCAAAAAAAATTGACAATTAAAATGATAAAATTAAAATAATAAATAATAATGTGTGGATAAACAGAATGAGATGTGGGATGTGGTTTGACAAAAACTTCATAATGTGGGTAATATTTAAATGACATGTAAAAGTTGATAATAGAACTCATGTTTAACCTCCACATACATTAATCTTTAATAACTACTTCCTTCTGGTGAAGAAAGAAATAAATTGGAACAGACCAAAATTAGTGCTTATTATCTCTAATCTGTGTAAGTGGCAAAAAAATTTCAACTTTCTTAGGTTCCATTACTCCATAGACCAGACATGCACAAAGCCATGTGATATTTTTCTATTGTGTAATCAAAATTTTCATTGAATATTGACAATGAACCATGTAGTTAAGTCTACACTGGGTTTGTAGGTGAAAAACATTTATGGTTTTTTTGACAGCATGAGGCTTCCTCTAAAGGTTTTATCACAACAGTATACTCCATTTGCTGAGTTTCTACCGTTTCAATGAAATTTTGTTCCAATGTTGATTAGATTCGACTCTTTTTGTTTATTCTTTCTTTGCGAATATCTAAACAAAATGGTTTTGTAGATACTACCTATGAAAATAAGCTGTGGATTAGAGGATATTATATTCGCAGTTTTAGGTTCGACTACGTTTGGGCAGACTGTTGAAGATGCCAGTTGGATTAAAATATGAATCAATATGAGCTGAATTGGGACATAGAATGACTTGCGGAAGTTGAGAGAGTTGCCCTCAATAAAAATGGATTAAAGTATCACTAACAATCTCGTGAGCAAGATAAATACGTTGATAACAGCCAGCATCTAAATTAAAGTTAAACCATATTCACCTATACAAGACAGACTTGGGCTCCATGGTATCATAGAACATTGTCAACTATGGTTATAAAGGCAGCATGCTGCTGTTCTACTTGTCGAAGCTTTGAAATCAAACTGTTCCAAAACTTTGCTCATATAGCAACTGCACTCATATACACATAATCCAAGAATCACAATCTATACTAGGAATAGGAGAGCACCAAATTAAGAAGAAACCATGTCTGAGTTTAATCAAACCTTGCCAATGATTTTTCGTTTGTATGCCCGAGGTTCTGTTGTCAGAGGGCTACTTGATGAGTAGTAATACTTCCTGTAACCAGGTGTGTCGGCACTTGTTGTCAAGACAACTTTGGGTTTTTCAGTTTCTGCAATTGCCTGTGCCTATAAACAACAGCCAACCTTAGTTTCAGAAGGTACACAAAGCATCGATCACCAATAGGAATCCTCAAATGATTACTCAAAAAAGATAAACCCTAAACAGTTCACAAATGATCATCAACGATAAACTTTCATCGAAGTAGACAATCCACCCAAAGATGGGCAATCAAACTCTATAAAATAACGAGTAGCCAAAACATTGTTCAAACTACCTTGCACCCTAGTTACAGTACAAACCACGGGGTCCCTAAAATATACATCAGCATTCGGTTGAGTTAGACACAAAAACAATTGTACCTCATTGGTCGTTTCTCCTTGAGTAAACATGACTCCTTGCAATTGTGCACCAAGTTCAGAGGCTTGTTCTCGGCGCATTTGCTCTGCAAACTCAGCTTCTTCTTCCTCCTGCACAAGATCAGGCCATTACTCATTAGCAAGATCTACAGGGTCCTATATAGTTGCTCAAATACGGACTAGTCAAGAACGGCTATACTCTGAAAATCACCATACTAGGAGCTTCACCAGCTTAACCGATCTCCCCAAATCGTCAAATACCTGAAGCTTTGAGAAAAGCCATATAGAAAATTTCAAACAAGTTAAGAATATCGTTGGCATGTTCAAAATCTTTGACATTGGATAAAACGAAGTTAAAGAACAACTACACAGCTCCACTTCTAAAATTCAAAATGAATCGACGTACGCTTCAGGAATTGTTAGATAGAGGCAGAGTCTCAACAGATACATTTCACAACATGCGAATAGAAACCTAGCGCAGGCAAGTGATAGTACCATCATCCGACGCTGGTCGATGAACCATTCCGGTAAATGCTCTGGCAGCGTCACAAGATCCTCATCAAAGAGCTCCATAAACTGCTCGTTAGCGTATTGAGCCTTGCTCTTGGCATAGCGCCTGTACTGCTTGCTTCATCCATATCTAGCAGCCATCAGAAACTACTATGCTAATACGACGCAGAAAAACATGAGTAATCACACAATAAATAAGCTGCACGACACAAAAGGGCTCATCATTTCAAAATCTGGACTAAGACAACTAATCTGATAAACTTTATAACTTCTTCCAAGGCTCACAAATCGACTTCAACAGCTCTTTTTCCCCTCTTTTACATCCAAGTTTTTTTTTAACATGAAAGCAATAAATGTAACAAACAAGTACACTAAAACTTTCATTGATGTGGATGTACAGAGATCGTGGGCTGTCGAACAATTAAGTGGAACCTTTCCGACCTCAGGCAAATGCACTTTAATAACACCTAACATGGAGATTTCAAGTAGTGAGGGATTTCAAATTTGCTCTAACCCACACAAAGAAAAGCTCTCAGCATGCTGATCCTCAGTTTGGATCCATTTTTATGTTCAAGAACGTTGAGTGAGAAAAGTTTTTCAGAAAGCTAACCTCCTCTAAGATGGGAGTTAAGCTCCATTGCTGCAAACGGCGTAGACAGCCTACAACTGTGCCTGTTGTATGTATATCCCCCCTGGCAAAACGCTCAATTTGACAAATTTCAATCGAGGTTCAGAGCTTAAGTATGACATGCTGCAGCTGCTCCTCATGAATGCTATTTTAAAAATAAAATTGCAACCTCATTGGACGGGAATGAACTCACGAGCACATTACGAGGATTGGATGATTGGTGACATCAAGCACTATCTCAAGTGCATCCTTTATAAGATCCTCACTGATGGGTTTCCATGAGGTCTCCGACTTCCACACACCGACACCCAGATGGATCTGCGAAGACGATCCATTTTCAAATTGTAGTTACTCGAATGTAAGTCCTGCAAGAGCAAGAATCGAAAGGAGAAAAAAAAAAACAAAACAAAATAAAACAAATCAAAAAATTAATACTTGAAACGAGAACATACCAATTTAATCTTGTTAGTGTCGAGGAAGTCGGTAACTGCTTTAGGGGGAGATTGGTTAGAAAGGTATAGGATGGTTTTTAGCTGAAGGTGCAGTAGAAATGGTAGATTGTGCACATCAAGGACCTTGGACCTGAACACTCCTGATTCTACCACTCCATAAGCATCTGGCACACTGATGTACGCCAAAGTCATCCCTGCCAACACACCAAAACACGTATGACAGTCTACTTGGGAGATTGTCCACACTTCCATCAAAGAAAGAAAAATGCAGCGCACAGAATCAGCAACCCCAGATCCCGAAAGTCTCAATAGCCAAATCCAATCTCATCTTTCAAAACTAGTAAAAACCCAAAACTTAAATTGACAAAACGAACGAGCTAAGGAATTCATTTCGAACATTCTCAGGGCAGACTTCAAAGAAAAATGCGAGAAAAAGGTAGCTCACCGATCAGTTTAAATTCACGATGTGCACACGGTATCAATCTGCACAACAGTACAGCATTCGAGAAACGCGTTCAAATTGACAAAACGAACTCGTAACGAATTGCACTGAGAGGACGCATAACTGGCGATGGGAAAATATGGAATGAAAGTTAGACCAGGGAAAGTAGGTTGAAGCAGTCCATTCATAGCCGAGAAATTGGAGAATGCACATACACTACCACAGTCGGCACACAAAATAATAATAAATAAAAAAGAACGACCTAAAAGCTGGAGTGAAGATCTGGGGGCTACTGGCAGTGCATCAAATTAATAGCAAGAGGCAATCTCAACAGTCTGTACCGCAAACTCCCGCACCACCACCGTACTCTTCACCCACCTCGACACAAGTCTCGCATCCACAAAATTCAACTATAGGAAAGCCTACGTCCAGAACTCGTGGCTAGGCCACCCACAAAAGATACTCAGCACATCGTAGCCGCGTAAGCTCTGAAATCCTTGCCACTTCGCAAAATTCCAACACCTGGTCGAAGAATCCGACTCGCCAATCCCATCAACTGCGGCAATTGACAGAAGCTTCAGGATCCATATCAAACCTAGGTCTGCGTTGATTCCAACTCCATAAAACAGGAATCCGACAATCCTCGTCTGCTCCGGACCCACCCCCACCGTCGCGAAATTCCTCGCAGAACTTCACCATGTCGCTCGTCGCGGCATCAAATCCGAGGTCGACGGGCGTCTTTCTCGACGACCTTCATCTCTCTCAACGTGACCTTCAAACCCTAATTTCATCTCATGCATCCCACGAGTTCAAAGCCACCGCGATTTTTTTTACAATGTGTATTATTTCTTTGTTTTGTGTGCGAGTGTGTTTTTATCTTCAACTCACCACGACTACCACATCGATAAATCTTGAGAATTTTTTTAGAATGTTTTAATAGTGACCTTCCTATTCTCTATCCATATAACTTTAAGTAATAGCATGTTATTAATCATTATTATTGTTTAATGCTGTAATAATAATCAGGCAATTATTTTATTAATCTACTTTATTTTTTTAAAAAATAAATTTTTTGTGTCTAATGCTTGTTAGTAAATTTATATAATAAGATACATTCTAATACATGTTAGCAATGTTATTGTATATCTATTTAATCATTGAGCACAAAAAATTGAATGTATTTTTATTTAGAATATATATATAAAAACTATATATATATATATATAGTTTTTTTAAAAATAAAAATTACAATTTTATTTTTATTTTTGAACAGATAAATTATATTAAAATATTTCTATTAAATGTTTGCAAATGCAACAAAAGACAATTATAAAATGGTCATTATTATTTGAATAGCAATATTAGTTATAAATGTGTTAAAATTTTGATTGAAAACTTGGTACATGTGACAACAAAAAAAATTAAATAAGTTTTCAAATCATGTGTATAATACCAATGATTAGGCGACTATCACTATTTGGATCTACAAGAAATGACCAATTTAAAAGTTAATCAAATATCATCTACTAACAATAATAATTAATAATCAAATATAGATGTTTTGAAAAAGAGAATACAAGGAACTTGGAGAACATGCAAACAAGGAAAAATTATGAATAAGGGAATCAAGGAACAAATTAATGAAGAAATTGAAAAACTTAGAAACAAGAGAATATAGGAATATAGAAACTAAGAAATATAGAAATGAGGGAATTATAGAGCATGGGTCAAAAAGGGAATGGATGGATGTGCCAAAGATTCTATTGCCCCACAAGTATGGATTTTTGCTAGTGTATATATATAGAGATAGTGTGTCAAAACAATTATAATTATAAATATTTTTTTTTTTTGCAATAAAGACATGAATATTAATTGAATAGACATGCTTTATATAAATAATTATTCAATCTAATTCAACTTTTAAATAATTAAGTAGTTTCATATTCAATTATAATTTTTCATTAATAGAATATCTAATTACTTACAAAACAATAAAAATAAGACAATCATAATTTTTTTTATTTAATACCAATGATGATCATCTACTACCATCCACATTTAATAAGTTTCATTATCATTTATTTTATTAATTCAAACATAAGAGATCAACCTCTATGCTCTTTAATTGTTACATTTCTATCAATTTTGAACTAAATTTTATTAGTGTAGTAGAAGAAACAAAAATATTTGCAATGAAACAAGATAAATTTTATTTAGGTTAATTTAAACAATGCAATAATAAATTTATTTGATTAATTATCCATCATTATTTTCAAAAGACAATTAGAAAATTTTATTTTATACTTTTATTTATTTTCAAAGAATTAAAACTCTTCTTTTTTTTTTAAACATACTAAAGCTGAATATACATAAGAAATTTATATCTTCTACATGTGTATATTTATACAATTATATTGGATCTTTGTATTCAACTTCAAATTAAGTAATTTTTTTTTAAGTTGATAGACTATTTAGTTGTAGTTATAATCAAAGCTGCAATTAGATAATTGAACCATACAAACTTATTCAACAAGTTTAAGGTTTTTTATTTTTCAATTAATTTTCTTAAAGAATATTTTATCTAAACTAAGATAGGAAATAGACTCTTCTTTAGATATATATATTATTTTTAAATATCAATAATATATATATATATATATATAAAATACAAAATAAAAGGATTTTTAAAAAATAATTTTGTGATACTACTAAAAAACAATAAAATCAAATAATTCCTTAACAATAAGATTTTTTTTTAGTATTTATTACAATTTAAAACTATTATGCCAGAGATTATCTTTTAAATAATTTTAACTTAAAAGATAATCTTTTCATATAGTTAAAAGATGATCTTTTGTGACTATACAATATCTAATAAAAAAATGTTTAAAACCATTAAAAATTATATCAAAAACATGTTTCAAACTACTTAAAAAGTCATCTTGTAAAATGAAAATTTATGATTAAATATTGTAGTGCATAAATTTGCTACAACACACATGCTACTAGACATGCGAAATTTTATGTGTTCATAACAAAAAGTTGAGGTTTCTTGTTTATAATGAGTTGAGTGAATAATACTAGAGCGCATATCCACCCCATACTTTTTGTTTGGATACTGCGAAGTGACCCATTGTAAATGTTCTGAGCCTCTTAGATCCAGCACCATCACATTTGGATTTGTACAATGTCAATATTCTTTAGCAAAACGATATCCAAACAAACAGAATTTATAGCTTCTTAGCTGAAATAGGAGAATCTGAGGTCGGTGTCGTCGACCAAATACTCTCGACAGTTGATGAAGTTTTGAAGCTCTGTCCCAAGCGCTTATTATTTAGTGACCGAGGCTACTGAGATGCTCTGCAACCTGAGCTGATCTACTGCACACCCGGCTCTAGCTTAAATGAAAGCTGCACATCAATCGCTTTACGCCAAAAACAAGTTCTAAAGGGCTAAATTCCAGGTGCTAGACTTATCAGAACATTAGCATGCAATCTACTGCACAACTTGACTCATCAAGTCGTGTTTATCAGTCAAAAGCACCTGGACATTCAAAATGTCACAAAAAAGGAATTAATAAACTAGTAATTCCTGAGAAGAATACTCACAAAGAGTGCAGAAACTCTGTGTATTCACTCTTCAACTTCAATTGACATGATTGGTGAGAGGATTCACTATATTGTTAAGAAAGAAACATTGGTTGTCTTACAAAGACCATATGAAGCATCCATATCCGATAGCTCATTGCCCAAGATTCTGCCAAAGTGGAGTTTCAGCTTCAATGAGTAGTTTTTTCTGAAGTGCAACCTGTCAATGATCCATTTAAAATCAACTACATTAGCGTACCTGCAGTTTTTGTGTCTGTTTAGGTGTGTTTGCAGATATTTCTCATGCACTAGCTTCTCGGGTGTTGTAATTAAGTACGTACTGAATGCTTCTCTGAAGATAAGGTGATCATCATTTCAGTCACTACATACTGGTTTGTCACACAGGGTAATTCTGAACCGGTCACACAGAATCTCGCCGGTCCATTTTAAAGCTAATATATTGCAGGGTACTTGAGATAAGAGTTCATGGTGGGAGCCTTTTCAACAATGATTCGAAATGAACTCCTGGCAGAGTTTTCAAGCACAACTGACAGGGTTGGAAATGTTTCGGGACGTGGGAAGTATGCCGGTTGAAACTATAAACCTATGCGGTAACACTCGATTTAAACTGATGGGTTCTACGTCTCAGATCAAGTTGCAAGGGACCTCACTCCGGGTGGGCAATTGTCACTCAGTCGCCGAGAGAACGCAAGCTCAGAACACTGTTCTTGGGAAGTGGAGAGCAAAGAATGCATTTACAGTAGAGGAGCCTAATTTATTCTAATACTGCGTCTCGGAGGCTGAGGTGGGACAGGACGGCTTTTGACGGATCCGTCCATGTGGCCCCTTAACACGCTCTAATTGCACACTGCTATCATGTCTATAAACTTATGCAAATGAAATAGAAAGAATGAACTACGCTAGCCATAGCAGCAATGACGAGGATAATGTGTCTGCACACTTCTATGATTTCAGAGCATGTTTTTGGAAGAGTAAGTATTCACGTCAATCTTAGAACTGAAATCCATTTCCTGCACATTGCATTGATATCGATCAAGAAATTGGGTCTCAGCACAAGGATCTACTAGATTTATTAAGGAATACCTATCACACTTGTGGATCCCAAGTCTCAAGAGTTTGGTGTGGATGTTCTACTCTTTTCACTTCGCAACTTGTAATAGTCTGACAACAATGAGGCATTCGGCAAAATTCCTATTCCAAATGCACGGCACGTAATACTTGGTATGGCATGAAACCCGCTGCAGTTACTACAGAAAGTCGAGTTCTTGAAGCATGCACTAAGAACCTTGATCAAGCACAAGGATTTAGCTAAAAACGAAGCCATGAGCCTCACACTGCTGTTAACAAGAGCTGGACAATGCCTTCTCATGTGAATCAAAAGATAATCTAATCAACCATTAAGGTGCGCCTACAACTGCCACATCACCTGATCAAGCAACTAGAACTTGAATGAGAAGTTGCCCAAATGCATTCCTTTCAAATAAATATTTGTCCTTCAAAATCTAGACAATTATTACACCACTTTAGATTAACCTAGATCACAGAGCTTTCCTGTTCATTGTTATCAGTTATCCTGCATGCAAAATGTACATGTTGACCCCTACTGGCTGGGGCCTTCACATCTAATTGAACAAATTTGAAGTCTGTTTCTATACAATGACGTGGCCAAAGTTCTTTAATTTTTATATACATGCTCAAACTTGAGAGCTTGCATGTTACATCCTTTATGCAACCAATGTACACTTAGGTTGTGAACAATTTTAAAGTTACATGTATTTATAGGTTTGAAGTTTGAAAATTAGTTTGAGAAATTTAGAAGGATATTTGAATGGTTTTTTTCAAGATCATAAATCTATATAAAATTCAAAAGACAATACACTTATGTGTTACTAAATAAAAGGAGAAAAAAAAAAAAAATTATATACATATACAAGATAGAAAAAAAGCTAAAAAGGATATTGTTAAATACAAAAAGACTAGAGAGTTTTGAATCAAAGGTAAAATATTTGAAAGCACTAACAAGAATAAATATGGTCTTATTCTTGTCTCTATATAAATTAGCTACCAAAAAAGCCCCTAAGAAGCTTCTTAAGGATAACAAGACTTGTGATTTAAT